CCGAACTGGCTGGCAGCGGAAACGGTCGACACATCAAGCATAAAAAGAAGATTAAAAAGGAAACACCCAACAGATCTCACAAAGGACATAACCTAACAAACACGATGATGGTACCCCGCTGGGGGTAGCCACCCACATGATATATTAGTATACTGCTATAATACTTTACCAAATGTCCTACTGGACAAATTGTAAAATTTAAATAAATAAATAAATAAAAAAAACAAAAAAAAATTGTAAACGCCCCATGGTACGTTAGAAACCATAGAAAGAAGACTGAAAAGGGAACACCCAGCAGATCTCACAAAAGATATATCTTAACAAACACGAAGATGGTACCCCATTGGGGGTAGCCACCCATGATAATCAAACAGATAAAAAATTCTACCAAATATTCAAATTGGACAAATTGTGAATGTGAAATTTTAAATAAAAAAAAAACACTATCTATGATACGAAACACCCCTCAGGAAAAGCATACGAAGAGGCCAACATTTTTTAATATTGAAAATAAATGAAAAATATACAGAACGATAATAAAATCAATTTAGACGTACGGAATAGCACTATAAGGAACAGCAGTAATGAGCCACATAAATAAATTGCAATGGCTACAAGTGAAAATACTCAGAATAATAATCAACGCCCCATGGTGTATCAGGAACGAGGGTAGACGTAAAGATTTAAAGATACTAGCGGTCAAAGAAGAAATCGGCAGGTATGCAGAAAAATACAAGGAAAGAAAGGCAACACATCCAAACCAGCTGGCTGCTGAAGCGAGCAAAACTCTATAGAAAGAGGACAAAAAAGAGAATACCCCACTGACCTGACTAAAAAAATAAGAAAGTCAGACTCGAAAATGGTATCCCGCTGGGGGTAGCCATCTACATGTTATTTAGCAATTAAGCTAGAAAAATTTACCGAATGCCCAGCTGGACAAATTGTGAAGCACAAATTAAAAAAAAAAAATTATCTTCCGCTATTAATTCCTGTAAGGAAGATTTCTACTCCGAGACACCGTGATAGCCGCTCTGATCACTGTGTCCTTTTACAATTTTCACGATGCATTGAGAATTGATATTTCGCACATTAAATAAATACTCACACTACTAGAACTTCGAGGTTAGCATACGAGTCCGTTGATGCGTCAAATTTTTGTAAATACAAATAATCGTACTACGTGGTTACTCCTCGTCAAACTTTCCGTTACACGAGAATATTCATCCCCTCCAATAGGTCTCCGTTTTGGCGGACGACCGGCAGCGATTTTCAAGTTTCTTCGCGTTTTGATTACAGATTCACATGAGCGAGCCTTTTTCTCGCACCCATTGTATGAACTATATTTGTGTCACACTAGATCATCGTTCATTTGTATATATGCTTCGTGCGTGTAAATATCACAATGTCATATATAATAAAATTACGCCACTTGACTGAATTAAGCACATTGTAATGAATTCTCCCGGGATCGGAAATCAGCTCCCCGTTCGCAATTAGTATTTAACGAAACAATTCCATCCGTCTTACGCATACAAACACACACGAAACGAAAAGAAATACCTTTCTCGATAATTGATATTTTTTTCAACCGGAAAAACACGTTGTTCTAATTCCACATCTGATATGTGGAATATTATGTGGAATATATATTATTATAATCTATTATTTGTATAAACATATCCCGATTTATCCGAGACGCCGCGTGTACTCAGAATGGTAGAAAACGCACAGAATAGTCGATTCCGTCCGCCCTTGTTGACGATTCTATGAAGAATACTCGAATATCTTCGGCGTTGTAGTCGCAAAACCCTTGAAGCCTGCGAGCCCCTGAAACAGCAAGGCGCATAATTTACGGCACCCTCAAATGTCTCAGCTACCTCTTCCTGGAACCGGGGATGGCGAAAATCAAGACTACAAGTGTTCAAAGTCTCGTGCTTCTGAATAAACTGCTGGAATTATTATTAAAATAAAATTTAGGTTTTATTATGACAAAAACATTATCGCAAGGAAAGTAAATTTAATTTTATGTCTACAACGCTATTGCGCATGGAAAATATATTAAAATTATTGTATCATTCCACTGATCCATTATCGTTTAAAAGGGAAGATTTTCTTTTCATCTCTAAAAAGAATATAATAGACAGTTAGTTTCTCTTTCTAAGGCAACTAAATTTAATTAGTACAGAAAAGTATGAACATTTTCGTAGGACCACACAATGAAATGGACTGTTGTAGCGTGGAACCAAAGCGAATATACTTCATTTATAGTGGAACTAAATAGATTCTTTTATACGATAGCGTGGAACATCTTCAGCAATTGACCGCTGAGGGCAGCACTAATCTGAGAATAACCGGAACGATAAGAGTGAACACTTTCATTTCTGGGATTACCCTGTAGAATTCATTCATAACGCACTACTTAAAAGAACATTAAAGATTGGAAAGTTAACGTACATTAATTTTTATAAACAATATAATACTAAGTATGTACGTACTTACATATTTGAATTATATGATTCAATGATCCCTATATAATATCAGAGATTTCCTCTCTAGTAGTACTAGAGAGTAGTATGTTTATTATATAGTTATATGCTCTTTGCAAATACATATGAAATGAATTTTTTGTACAGTTTATACATATTAGATTTTTGAATATTTAGGTAAACAACTTCAGTTTCGTTTATAAAGATTCCGAAAAAAGCAACATTTTAGTAAAAAATATATTTTCCTCAGTGTTGCGTACATTTCGTACACTTGATTGTATTATCCGTACTATGTCTTCGATACAAATTGATGGAAGCCTAGGCGAAGGTGTATGTATTTAAAAATTGTTTATTTTATAAATCATATAAGATTAGATAATTCAAGTGCTTTAATTTGGATTTATAGAAGTATATGTATGTAAAAATTATTGAATGCACAAATGAAATATGTTATTTTTAATATTCCTAACTAAAATTTAAAAAGTTATGCTTATGTTTAGGGTGGTCAGGTATTAAGAATTGCACTTTGCCTGAGTGCATTATATAAAATTCCAATTAAAATTAATAATATACGAGCAGGTCGTCCTAAGCCTGGCCTTGCTGCACAACATTTAAAAGGTATGTTCTTGTTAAAATATAACTTTTGATTATTGTTAATCTTGTTTTTTTTTTAATTGAACATTATTACAGGAGTAGAACTGTTAAAAGATATGTGTAATGCAGAAGTTTATGGAGCTCATATAGGATCAACAACTTTAGAGTTTAAACCTGGTCAGTTAAACACGGATAAAAAACACACATTCTTTGTGGATACAGGAACTGCTGGCTGTATTTGTTTGTTAGCTCAAGTAGCTTTACCTTGTGCCCTTTTTCTTCCAAAAAAGGATACAGTTACATTGATTCTTAAAGGTGGCACAAACGTTCCTATGGGACCACATATAGAATATTTTACAGAAATATTCAGACCATTACTTAATAAATTTGGAGCTGATTTTGATTTTAGAGTTATAACAAGGTATACGTTGATGTGATGATACGAATTTAGCCATTTTGTTCTTAATATTTTGCTGTAAACTATAGATATTTATAGAATATTAATTTTTTAACAATTTATGTAGGGGTTATTATCCAAAGGGAGGTGGAGAGGTACATTTGTACATTAAACCTGTACATACTTTGAAAGCTATTACTTTAACTGATCCAGGAATTCCACATGAAATAGTAGGATGGGCATATGTTGCAGGTGTTGTTCACATTAGAGTATGTATCATATAGTTGTATAATTGTAATATTATATTTCTTTGATACATATCTTGTTTGTTTTAAAGGAAGCACATAGAATGGCAAATGATGTAAAATCAGTTTTAACAAAAGGTTTAAATAAATCTAATATTCCATTGCCACCTATAAATATCGAAGTTTATAAAGAGGATAGATCTGTAACTATTGGTAATGGGTCTGGCATCAAGTAAGATTTAGATACAGCCAAAAATTATGAATTTTATACATTATGTTTTTAATTAAATATGAACGATATCATCAGTGTAATGTGCGCTACGACTAGTGGATGTGTTTTTGGTGGATCAGGATTGGGTTCTGGACGTCAAGAGCAAGTAGCACCAGGTATACAGGCAGCTAATGAAATATTGGACACAATTTTAGCAGAATCCTGCGTTGACGAACACGCACAAGATCAAGTATGTATATTTTTATAAAATAATTAAAAATAATTTGTTATTTTTATCATAAATTATAATTACTTGTATATTTTAGTTAGTCATCTTGATGGCTTTAGCTAAAGGTACTTCTAAAATTAATCTCGGAAGTAAAAAACTTACTTGTCATACTGAAACAGCTATAAAAGTGGCAGAATTGGTCTTACAACAGTTTAATCTTCAATTTAAGTTATGCGAAAATAGAAATGATGGAAGTAATAATTCCTATACCTTAGAATGTGAAGGTTGTGGGTACGAAAATAAAGATATAAAATAAGTAACAGTTGTATATTCAGAATAAGTAAATGCAAAATGCATAGTACATGTATTAGTTGCTTTCTCTCATTGTTACCTTATTTATTTTATCAAGAATAATTATAACACATAAAACAAAGAACTTGTATAACATCTGTTCCTTTTCTTATTTGATTATATCTATTTCTTTTTTGCAATATTTATGTACATAATTTTTTATTCAATCAGTAAATGAATAACTTTATGATGTTTTCTGTTTTATAGAAGAAGCAAAAATATGTTAAAAAAGTATACATCTAATCATAATAAATATTTTAATAAGAATTATCATTCCTGTTTTTGTCTAAAAAATGGTTCTATAGTTCGTAAGAATTCTCTTTCAAACATTTCGTCCGAAAACCGATCTACAGATGCTCTAAAAAAATAATTTATTTCTGATCATTTGTAAATTTATCTTTCATATTAATCAATATGATTTATTATTAAAAAATAATAACGCAAAAAGTAATAATACCTAGCAACTGTCCTAATGGCATTTCTATCTTCTGGATGCATGTTGATAATATGTGCCATAATCTTTGCATATTCTTCAGCTTCTGTAGCTAAAAATCCATTTTGAGACCCTGGTTGTGTTTCTATTATATCAGCCCTATAATTATTCATATATTACAATTATGTATTAATTTGTGTATTTTTATTTTTATAAAAGAATATTTTTAGCAATAAATTTTATTGACTATATCAATGGTTCTCAGCCAAGTAATATTTTTCTTCAATTCTTCTTTAACTTTAATTTTGCTGGTATATATTTCTGAAAAAGCTGAGGATCCTTTGACTATTACATTACTATATTTTTTATTACACTTTACCTTGGTCCACCAGAACCATGAGCTACTACAATTAATCCAGCTGCCATACATTCAACAATGCTTATACCAAAATGTTCATTCCACATTGTATGTAAACCTATCATTGCTCGTTGAAGTTCCGATAGAAGTTCCGAGTATGGTATGTTTAGTTTAAATTCTACATTTTCATCTAATGCAAAATGTTTTGATAAATCCTTCATATCTTTCATGCGTACTTCATCTTCAAAATTTCGACAAGAACCAATAAGAATTAAACGAATCTGGCAAGATCATGTAATATTGCAATAAAAGCTGCTAATATGAAACCTTTTATTATTTATATCATTATATTATATTAAACTTACTTTTTCCCAAATCTCTTCTTTAACGATTGATCTAAGTTCATACATGGTTCTCAACATTAATGGATGATTCTTTTCTGGTCTAAATTGTGCGACTGATATTATACGAATATTATTACATTTTTCATCATCATTGATAAGTGGCAGTGATGTTAAGTGCTTTACATTGCAAGGTGGATAAATTTTATGAGTTTTCAATGGACATTTCCAAATTGTATTAATATGTTCTTCGGTCCATGAGGAATTAACCATTACAATTTCTGCCCTACTGCCAACCCAACCATATATCTGAAGTAATTGTTGTAAATTATATCATCAAAGCATAATTAATTAATAATCTTTATATACATACAAGTCCAAATAATTTATAATAAACAAGTTTAGCTGCCGATAAAAATGGATTTCTAGCTATAACTCTTTTATTAGTATGAGAGATAACTCTTCTATAAACATGTCTCAACATATCAGTTGAAATTGTGGGGTAGTGAGTATATGTTGCTACTCTACACCCACCAATATATTTAAATAATGGATATGTAAATGCATAACCCATGGTATCGATGTAAATGTCTAAAACAATATTTTATATGTCATGTAACATAATATATGGTATTTATAAAACAATTATTAAAACAGATATGAAATTAAATTTTACCTGGTACAAAACTATTTAAAGCTTCAATACCTAACCAAATTGATCCCAAACTCTGTCCTAAAAGTGTAAAATATGGATACATTGAAGGTTCCACCCATTTGCGCCTATGTAAGTATACAAATTCAATTTTATGCTCAATTTTATAATTAAATACTTTTTCTGCTTTATTTAAAATTTGTTCTGGATGTGCATCAAGATCCCCAGTATAAATAACTATGCATACATTAGGGTATCTGATAAAAATAATAATTTAAACATATGATAATTAATTAAAGTTATCGTAAATAACATAATTATTATTTAATTTATTAATTTATTTAAAATAGTTATACCTGGTTTGTATAGCACTCACAGCAGCCCAAAGTACTCTTTCACCTCCTCCACCTGAATTACAATACGGATGAAAGAAACCTACAACTGTTTCCTTGTGTGATCTTTCCATTCGACTTTTGGAATATTGCTTTCTCCATGTTATTAATAAAATAGGTAAGATAATAAATATACATAATATTTTACATATGACTATTACAAGCAACATATTTAATGAGAATACCATACGCATCCTGAAAGAATACAAAATTGTTAGACATACACATAACATTTGCTAGAAAAGATTTTAAGCTAAAATATAATATTCTCACAAGAAAGAGATACAAATCTTACATGAGAAAATAAAAATTCATTTTTTAGTTTTTAAAACACTATAAAATTTAACGAATTGATTTGCCACGTGCTTTTTTACAATGTTTTATATCAATTAATGTAACAAAATATTTTCAACCAAACCATCGCTTAATTTGATCACACACATCTTAATTTACTAACATTTTTTTCAGTGTAATTACTATTGTGCTTATTGTCTCGTATATTATTTAATATACACAAATATATATTGGCTTTCATATAATTAAGGTGATAATTAATGCAATTCTCCTTTGAGGTAATGTATATCAATTATTTATTCGCAACATACGAATTTCTAATTTTATTTTTTAATTTATATCGATTTTGTTTCTACTTTTTAATTATAGGCTAGACTAACAGCTGTTAAAAGTAGACGACATTTAAATTCAATATTATTCACACGTGTTACGTTAAATTTAGTAAAATATCATCTAAAAGCGTGGGAGTTTTAATATTCATTCTGCACATATATTAAAGGTTCTTTACAATAATAAATAATTTTTGTTATTATTATATGAAATATATAATTACACAAAAATTTAGTTTTTTAAATTAAACACAGACTTCATTTCGAATTTTTAATTATGCCGCTTAAATTCTATTTTACCACTTTTATTTTATAGCTTTATATACGAGAAAGAAATGAAATTAAAAAATAAAATAAATTGGATCTTTTCTTAATCAGAGAGGAAATTTCCTTTCTGTTTTAATCTTTAATCTAGGCGTCAATTTCAATTCATGTATCTCTGAGACTAACCAAACCCTTTTCAAATGTCATTAGTGGAAGTTTGCCATGGATATAGAAATATGTTATTGTATATTGTAGAGGAGTGCGTAAACGAGTTGAAAAGGCGAAAAATATAGGAATAGAAAAAGATCGCTGCAAAAAGCCTCCTGTATTCTTGCTTATAATAATGCAAGCACATTCGTACAGTATGTAACTATGTATGCAAGTGTAACACCGATCAACAAGCAGCGTCAGTGAGCTTGCCTAATTAGACAAAGAGAGAAGGGAGATAAATTCAAGGTTCTGTTTCTATTCCCATATCGCACTCATTTACGCGGTAACACATGTCCAGCTTGTATGTATAGACGTATATGTAAATATTCAAATGCATTTGATGAAACATCAAACGAAATGCGTAAAGCAACAACTATATATATATGTATTTAATTTATATCAGCTTGTATGTATATATATATACGTATTTTCACCACATTGCTAAAAGCAAAGGAAATCCGCCATATTTTCCTGTGTCTTCCAATATTTTCTGAGTGAAGCTACATTGGACAGGCAGTTTTTGTTTCATTCGTAGCAAAATTACGTGATTAGAATTTTTCAACGGTACATTAATAATCCATTTTAATATTGTTTCTTTATGTAACTCGTGCATTATTCATGTCCTCTTTTCAGCTTAGAAATGCGTTGTTCACCGCGTAGTGCATTCTATGTGTTATGATTTGTTTATTGATTACGACGTATTCATAATGTTTACGTACTGAAAACGCCTTTCGATCTAAGTCATATTGTCATTTATTTGAAATCCAATTGATTTACTTAATTTGTGTATTAAAGAAACTATGAAATTCAATTGATCGCTGTACGATATTTCTTTCTGAAGAAAAAAGAGTTCCAATTTGTACCAAAATAGATTAGCTTGTAAATACATGGATTATTTTAGAAAACTGTACGAATCGAAATGTATGTTATTTAGAAAAATTCATTTTACGTTATAATTTTTGTATACTTTATAATGAAAATATTAATTCGTATATTTATTTTAATATCATTGTGTATTTAATTTCAGACATAATTTCACGTTATATTTGGTACATTATACATGGATCAAATTAAGCAAGAATTTGTAAAAGTATCATTTCTTGTGCGGATGTGAATAAGTTTGGGACAAGTTTAAGTTTTCCAAAATGATAGACACATCTATAAGTTCTTGTGCTAATTCAAATGCTTCGCTTGGAATAGATCAAGCATGTTTCAGTATTTTGAATTTATATATTAATCCTGTCATCTTTTATGCAATAGCATGGGAAGCTTACACAGTATGTATTCATATATACACAATTTTGAAATTAATTTATATATATCAAACACATGTGTAATATCTAAATTATATATAAATTATTGATTTATAGGGTACTGGTGTCCCGTTGGCTACTTTAACACCAAAAAGTAATACAAGTTTGATAATAAGCACAAAATACCCATTACACATATATTATCAAACTGTTGAACCACATAAAAATTATGAATATTGTCAGTAAGTATCCTTTCTTCTTATACGAACAGAAAAAGTATTACAAGCCATTTTCTTAGAAACTATAGCTAATATTTACTAATTTTTGTTTTAATTTCAATGGTACAAGGGGGCTGATTATTTTTGGAGCAAGAGATTTTTCTAAGATGACTGCTAGGGGGTTAATGGAAGTCCCCCTCATTTTTTTAAAATTGAATGCATATTAATTTCTGTTCATTTGGATAGCTGTTCTGAGACTGCAAAACATTTGCTTAAAGCATTTTTTATTATTCTGCGTAATTAAAGAGTTATAACGAGAAAAAGATCTAAAGGGAGACTATGCAGAGACATCAAAGGATAATTAAAATAGATATATCTTAAGGTACAATTCATTTTATTAAATGTCCAAAGTGGAAACTGTTGATATCTAAACATTTATTTATTTCTTGTATGATATTATTTCGTACATTTGATAATATTGTTGCAGTTATAGATTTACAGGCATTTAGTATTCTTCTCTTTATATCTTCTTTTGTTATAAGTGTTGTACTCATAACTTATAGATGTTTAGAAGTGAACATCATCATATTAAATACTTCTAGAAAATTTTGTTTCAGAAAAATCTTTTGTACCATAAATAAACAGTCCCCTTATATCGTGATATTTAAAAAAAAATTAATATCTGCTATGGTTTTCAAGAAAACAGGTTGTAACACTTTATTTGTATATATCTGATATGCACTTCCATCCAACTATGTATTTATTTCCAACCATCTTTGTAGCACAACTTACACCTTCAAGGAATATGGTAGTTATGGATGGAATATATCAAGTGCTGATATATGTTCTAATATTTATGTAATACATGAACCAAGAAATAGCTACTTTCGTAAGTAATATTTAATAATACATTTTCATAATCGTGGTTCATCATAAAATACTAACAACTCTAATACTAACAAATTTCTTTTACAGCAATTTTGACAGCATTTATGATATATATCTTATTAGCAGTCACATGGACAACATCTAAAGTTATTATACGAGTAATAAGAGGAAAATTGTCCCCCAATAATGTATATGATGTAGGCATAGTTTGATATATTATTGTACATTTCATTTCATTCCATTTCATTTAATTTAATATTATTCTAGGATTTGAATAGACTTCAAGAAGAGAATACAACACATCCAGTAATTAGAGTTACGAAATTCAGCAGTAGAATACAATCAGTAGACGCGTTTAGAGGGTATTTTTATATTTTTGCTTGTTGCTCGCGTATTTGCCAATTTAGATATCATATTACTTATATTATTACAGAATTGCAATATTACTGATGATATTTGTCAATAATGGAGGAGGAAAGTACGTTTTCTTCAATCATAGTGCATGGTTTGGACTTTCCGTTGCTGATTTAATACTTCCTTGGTAAGTAATTATTTATATTATGTTTAATCTTTCAAAAAGTACAATAAATAACTTGTAGGTTTGCATGGATTATGGGTATGTCGATAACAATCTCAAAACGGGCAGAACTTCGTTTAACAACATCACGTGTGAAAATAACTTTATGTTGCCTTCGACGATCAGCGATATTGATTCTTCTCGGATTAATGTTAAATTCAATTGATAGTAAATCTTTAAACGATCTTCGTTTTCCTGGTATTCTTCAGTTACTAGCTGTGTCGTATTTCGTATGCGCCATATTGGAAACAATCTTCATGAAACCCCATTCTCAGGTTTGAATATAATCATTTTTGTTACGTATAGCTTTTACATTTATCTAATTGGTATCTACAAAAATTACTCATTAGGATATCTTACTCCAGTTTGGCCGTTTCGCTATATTCCGAGACATCTTAGATAGCTGGCCTCAATGGTTAATTATGGCAGGCATTATGACTACACACACATTAATTACATTCTTCCTTCATATGCCGAATTGCCCGACGGGTTACTTTGGACCAGGTGGAAAATATCATTATCGTGGAAAATACATGAATTGCACCGCTGGTGCAGCTGGCTACATAGATAGATTGATCTTTGGAAATCACACGTATTCTAAAATAAAAGACTCTATTTATGGTCAAATCTTACGTTATGACCCTGAAGGTATATTGTTTATATATGTCTATAGAAAAATAGTTTGTATATAATTTAATATCCATGACGACAATTAAATTGCAGGATTGATGAACACTATATCGGCTATATTTATTGTTTATTTGGGAGTTCATGCTGGAAAAATTTTATTGCTGTATTATCAGGGTAATGCTAGGCTGATTAGGTGGTTCTTATGGGCAATATTTACAGTGAGTTGACAGAAATAAATTTTTTCGGAAGGCAATGTAATTCCTACTAACATAAAATATTATTTTCTAGGGTATTATTGCTGGAATTTTATGCAATTTCGAAAACGAAGGGGGAGTGATTCCAGTTAGCAAAAGGATGATGACATTATCGTACGTTCTGACTTGTTCTAGTTTTGCTTTTTTGTTGTATGCAATTTTATACTTTCTTATTGATTATAAACAATTCTGGAGTGGAGCTCCTTTCATTTATGCTGGTATGTATTAATGCAAAAAGAAACTGTTATATAAATAAATATTCTTTTTTATATGAAGCTATATAATTATTGTTTTTCATAGGGATAAATCCAATTTTTCTGTACGTTGGTCACGTTTTGACAAAAGATTTATTCCCATGGGCGTGGAATATCGCTCATCCTTCCCATGCTTCTCTTCTGGCTATGAATTTATGGACAACAACTTTATGGGCAATAATTGCATATCTTCTTTATAGGAAAGATATTATCATAACTATTTAAAAGTATATCTATCAGCGTAATAATATCTACCATTGCCTTAACATGAATGAAACATTTCTTTTTTGTTCTATAAAACGTAAAGAAGACTTTCTATCTTTTAAATTAAAATTCATATTCAAATATTCTTTTATTAAAAAAGACTTTCTTTTTCTTTTACGTTTTATAGAACAAAAAAGAAATGTTAGATAACTGTATTATAGGCAAAGAAATACAATAATGTAAGAAAAGAATTAATGACACATTTACATTTGAGAACATTGTTAACATTGATTAATAAATATTAGGGAAAAAGGTAATTATTCTAGTTTTAAATAATTATTTTAAGTTTATTAAAGTTATATTAAATTTTTATAAATAAAGACAGTGAACGAATCCTTGTTTCATTATTTTAATAATTAAATTTTAATAATTTACTTGATAAATAATCAAAATATTATACAAATAACTAATATATTATAATTCTTCGTATATAATAAATATTACTTATGAATTTCGATCTTTTGGTTCTTTATATGGAAATTTGAGAATTCGAAAAATGTCTTCTTCACATGAGATTTTTTCTGCCTCCCCTGGAGTTCCTACATTATATATAATATAAATATGTAGATTTACTCATACTGAAAAAATTTTCGCTTTTAATTATATACCTTCAGGTGTTAGACGTTTTAGCGTATATTCATTTAAAGTATAGTTTTTCTCCAAAGCATGCGCCCTCATACTCTTATTAAAAAGATCGTTTCCGGTAAAATAAAGTACAGCGCAATAGTATTGATCATAAGGTGTAAGTCTGATATCAAGTCTCCT